GGGGAGCTCTGGTCTTCACCTTGACTGTCGCTTCCTGGCTCCAGTGTAGATCTTTTAGCCTTCTGGCACAGCTCTTTTACTTGGCCAGCATAGACTTTCTAAAATCCACCACTAGCCTTTTGGGCTTCCCAGTGCAGATCCCTGATGCAGACTCATGGAGGGTATGTCTGTGGGCTCTAGGCCTTTGGCTGGAATTGTGCAGGATGTTGCTCTGGGCTGCAAGCCTTGGCTGGATTCTTTATGTCTGTAGCACACAGACAGAACTTTTGTACTCTTCTGTGTTTGTCTTTTTGGGTGAATATTATAAATTAATCCTATAAATTACGTGTCCCTGATTAAATCTATTCCCTTGCAAATCACTGACAACAGGTACCTTGATCCTTGTGGTGGTGGGAGGCACAGCGAGCCTTCCAGGTACCATAGTCATGGGGGAAGTGGTGTCCTGGGGAGGATACTGTGAACCATGATGGGGAGGGGAATGACACGCAAAAGTTTCTGGATACTGTAGTTCTGGGAGGGAGAGTCACAATGAGGATTATGAGTACCATAATGGGGGAGGGGTGGGCTAAGGGTTTTGCCTGTGGTGGGCATGCATAATCTTCTGGGTACTTTAGTCTGCGGGGGTCACACCAAGGATTCTGGGTAGTGTAGTTCTTGATTGGGGCATGCAGAGTTTTCTGGGTACTGTGGTCCTGGGTGTGGCCTGTCAGGCCAAGAATTCTGGGTACTGTCGTTGTGGGTGGACACCACCAAGTCTCCCCTTCTTCATACCCTCTATCCAGTGGTGCAAATGGGCTCAGAAGGCCAGGCTGGTAGGGCATTGCCACTGGCTCAGTGATGGACACTACTGTGACTGGCCCCAGGGAGCCCAGACCTGAGAGGTGACCAGACCAGGCTCTTTCTCCTGTGACTCGCCCTGGTGTGCCCAATCCTGCCCCACCCCTGCCACACAGCTCCTCCTCCAGAACCCAGGCCCCGCCCCTCTCATTACAGCCCAAGGATACCCACAGCTGAGGTGCCCTGGCTCCACCCCCTGCCGTGACCTGCCAAGTTGTGCCCAATCCAGGCACTTTGGAGCTGTGCAACTCTTCCTCCTGAACCCAGGCCCACCTCCTGGTGTGACCAGCCCCACTCCTCCCATGACCCAGCACCAGAACACCAAAGCTGAGGTGTCCTGGCCACGCCTCTCAAGTGAACAAGCTCCAACCCTTCCATTAGCCACTCTGTTGTGCCCAATCCTAGTGCTTTTGGGCTACACCACTTCTCTTCTTGAACCCGGCTCCTCCCATGACAGCCCAAGGATGCCCAAGGCTGAAGAGCCTGGCCACACCCCTCCTCATCCTGTAGCCAAGCTCAGCCCCCTCTGGCGACTCTCCCTGTTGTGCCCAATCCTGGTGCTCCTGGGCTATGCCCCTCCTCTTCATGAACCCGCCCCCTGCTGTGGCCCCCCCCCTCCCATGACCCCCCCCCCCAGGCCACCCACAGCTGAGGAGCCTGGC